GGAGTCCTCTTAATCAGTGCTCCCCCCCAAGAGGCCAACATGTGGCTAAAACCTTAGTGCAAACAATGGTTTGACATTATCGCCGAGGCCTCTGGGAGCACCTTGGGTGCCTCTGGGGGGTCTCTTGGGGCCTCTTGGGGGTCTCTTGGGGGCCTCCTGGGGGCCTCTTGGGGGGGCCTCTTGGGGCCATCTTGGGGCCATCCTGCGGCCTCTTGGGGCATCCTGGGGGCCTCTTGCGGCCATCGTGGAGGAAATCGATGAAAGAAGAGGGGAGCTTTCATTAGCGCTGCCCCCTCAGGAGGCCAAAATGGGGCCCAAACCATAGTAAAAACAATGATTGTGGCTTCCTCGCCGAGGCCGTTTTGGACGCTCTGACCGCTCGCGGCCCCTCCTGTCCAGGTCAGTGGGGAGGGGGTAGGGGGAGCGGTAAACCCCTCCCCGAAGGGGAAGAGGGAGGGGTGGAAGAGGAAACGCCCTAAACCACCGACGCCCAGAGGGCTGGTGGGACTAGTCTTATGATGTTCCAACCTACTCTAGCCTTGACCACCAGAAAGAATTTCGAGCACCATGAAAGTACCAACATTGAAGGGTTTTCACGTGTCGGGCCCTGGGAGACACTCGTCCGACACTGCTTCCACACACGTTCGACACTTTTCCAGGTGCTCGAAATCATGTCTGGGATGTGGTCCTTAAGTACGATGGGGGCAACATCAAACTAGTCAAACAATAGTGTGGGGACTTATATATGTATATATGTGTATATATATATATATATAACACAAGCACTAGGTTTGGCCTGTTTTTGAACATGTTTGGACTATTTTTCATTTTTCTTCCAAGATCCGCCTGTGAGAGGACATGCCCGACGTACGATGGGGGCGTTGGTCAACTAAGGAATGTGCCCAGGATGCTTCAGATCCTGGGGGGGTCCTTACCTGATGACAGCGACAGTGATATGACGAACGAGCAACACACACCCATACCCATATGGGGGGGTCGTTGAGAGGAGGACTGGCTATGGGTATGGGTGCGGGTTGTCGCACCCTGGGGAACGCTCCCGTTCGAGCGGGGACCCCCATCCAACAACACGCACCCATAGCCCTCTCCGACCCCCCTATGGGTATGGGTGTGTGTTGTTGGTTCGTCATGATAGAAAATCAATGGACGCCCTGGGGTGTCAGGGCTGGGTTTCTTGTGGAAGGTTTTTTGTGGTCGGGCCCCTGCTGTACAGAGAGAGGCAGGCATGCTGCTGTGCGGCAGCCCTCGCCCCCGAGCTCTGGAGAGGAGAGAGGAGCACGTCGCACGCTCCTCCGCAGGCTCCGGGGAAGCAGGAGCGCGCGATGGTGATCGTTTTCTTATTTCCCAGTCAGTGCTTGCACTGAAGGGGACCTCGCGGAAGTTGAAGCATTTGGCGAAAGTGTCCCGCCGATTTTGGTCGCACGCTGATTCCCGGGTTCCCGGTTCTGGGTTCCGGGGTTCCCGGTTCCGGGCCGAGTTCGGAGGGCGGCGAGGTTCCCGGGTTCCAGGGTTCTTGGTCGATCTTCTTATTGATCGGTCTCACCATCGATATCATTGCCCCTTTCTCCATCGATTTCGCAATCGATCTCACTATCGATCTCACAAGCGATCTCACTAGAGATCGCATGAGCGATCTCGCGATCGATCTCATTATCGATCTCATTGAATCGATGTCACTCAAGGTCAGGATCGACCTTAGAATCGTCCTCACGATCGATTCCAGTATCGATCTCATTATCGATCTCACAATCGATCTCAAGATCCATAGTATCAATTTCCAAATCATCCACTGATTGGGGTTTTCTCAGATGTAGTTCATTGTCTGGCCGATCGGCGTGGGCCCTCGCACCCCCCCCGTTCTTGCATGTTTCTGGCGCCTGTTTCAGGCAGAGGGAGGGCACATTTTTATGCACGTACATATACGTGTAGAAAGAGAGAGGGAGAGAGAGAGAGAGAGAAACAAAAAAACAAAATACATAGAAAGTTAAAGAGAAATTGAGAACATAAGCGATACGAAGAGACACACATACAGCTGGCCCGCCTTCTGTGATCCCAATTGCAGCAGTGTGTCTTATGGGGTCTCCCCCATAAGACACACTGCTGCAAAGAGCCGCGTGAAGCAGAGGTCCGGAGCCAGAGACCCCCGCACCTCGCCCCCCCTGCTGGCCGATGCCGCAACGCCAAATAAGAAAAAACGTCCCCATGGGTGTCTTCGGGGTGGCCTTATGTCGGGCGTGTCCCCCTACAGGGGGATTTTCGATGAAGAGTAAAAGATGTTCAAAAATACCCCAAGAAGGCAAACACATTGTAAATTGTCCCCGGACTATTTTAGGACTATGTTTGGATTATTTTTGGGGTATTTTTTTTGGTTCGTCGAAAATCCCCCTGTAGGGGTACAGGCCCGACTGAAGGGTGGCCCAGAGGACCGCAACATGTGAAGTCCCTCCGTCCCAGGTGCAAGCGAGTCGTAACAGGTGAGGCGTTTCGGAAAGGCTCTCGCTGTCGAGGGCCGAAGGACATGACGTCTCTTCCCCGGCGGAGGTCGGCGGAAGGCTACCCGAGCACCGGCGGTGGGAAACAAGTGCAACACCGCAAGAGATCACGACCCGCAGAGCCCTGGGACCCCATTTTTGCGCCATGTTTCGAGGCGGATCGATCTTCTAAGGGTCCCAGGGCCCGAAACGGGGCTCGGGGGTGGACAGAACCCCCAACAGTGACACGTCGATTAGTGAATTGTCCGTTTTCCGTTCTCGAGAGGGCGCCGTGGCCGTGATTTTCCAGGCGTGCGCCCGCCGGGTTTGGGCCTCGGGTCGTTTTCACTAAACCACGTTTTACTAAAGGGGGTTCTGTCCATCCCCGAAACGGGGCGGAAACGCCAGGCTCGCACAAATCGCAATGCCGGGGTCTCGGGGTTGGCGGATGGCGGCGGGAGCAGAACGAGGCCGCCTCCGGCGGAAGCCGGCCGCCTCCAGCGGAAGCCGGCAGAAGGCCGGCGGGGGCCGGCGGATGTAGACATCGGTTTCCCCAAGGATGGCGAGGTGTTTTAGTTCAGGGTTTCTGGAACCCACCATGTAACAGGTCGTGCCCCCTGTAATTCGGGGAAGGCGCAACGCAGGAGTAGGAGGAGGAGGAGGCGGGCATAACGCGAGCGAGAGAGAGAGAGAGAGAGAGAGAGAGATAGTGAGAGAGAGAGAGAGAGCGAGAGCCAGAGAGCGAGAGCCAGAGAGAGAGAAAGAGAGAGAATGGGGAACATTGGATGAGAAGGTTTCGCAATGACTCTTGGGGCGTCTAAGAGGTCTCTTTGTGCATCTCGGCGGGCCTTTTGCCGTGGCTTGGAGGCGTATCGGGGCGTTGTGGCGTGTCTGGGGCTGCCCCCTGGGCTTGCTTGGCGGTGGCTTGAGGCATCTTGGAGTTCCTCTGAGGCCATATCAGGACCACATTAGAGTTATGTTGGGCAGTCTTGGGTAGTTTTGATCAAACTTGCTTTTGGGCCACTCACACGGCGTCTTCGAGCTCTTTTGCGCACTACAGAGTCCGTCTTGGGCCGAAAATTTTTGGAAGCAAATTTGCTTGGCGAAGGGCCTAGCCCTATGCAGCTGCGTGTAGCGCATGGCGTGACCCTCCCCTCACTGAACCGCAGTATGTCTGGAGTTTGGCTACCCTTGAAGGCACGGAATATCTGAGGGCTACTTATGCCGAAGTAGACGCGTGGCGACATGCGGACATGCCCACAGGAAGGCCCTAGGTGAGGCTCCGGCAGGGGGGGGCGGGCACGAAGCGCAAGATGAGGGTGCAGAAATAGGAGCGGGGCGGCGTGGGGTCACCCATGCTGAGGCCGTAAGTTGAGCTCCTTATAGTGGAAACGTGTGAAGGGCGTGCCGAAATGGGCGCGGGGCGGCATCCGAACACCACGACTCGAGCCCCAGATACAGCTCTCTTTGGAGGCGAGGGGCGTACCGACATGATTGGAAGTGGCACTCGTCATGGTGGCACGAAACGTCTGAGGGCTGCGCCGAAATGGGCGAGGGGTATTCATGCGAACGCCCTCAGTGAAAGGCTTAAACTTTAGGTGGATATCCGTATGAAACGCGAAGCGTGCGAGGGGGAACACTCAACATGTTAGGGTTGCGCCAAAATGGACGGGGCGCTCATGTGGGCGCCCTCGCTGGGGCCGAAGTTGGAACTCCTTGCCGGGCACGCGAAACGTGTGAGGGGTGCGCTGGCATGGGCAGGGGAACTCATGCGAACACCTCCACTGAGGCCGTAGGTTGTTGTGCGGTGGAGCTCCTCATAGGGGTACGGATCGTGCGAGGGGTGCGCCGAAATAGGCGGGGAGATTTGTGTGGCGGCGCCCTTATTGGGGCCTCAGGTGGAGCCCGATGGAAGCTGACGAATCGCGTGAGGGGTATTCCGAAATGGACATGCGGACGGAGGGCAGGGGCAGTGTGAGGATGAAGAGGATAAGAGTTGAGGCGGGGATAAGGAGACGCGCGACGCTGCGGGTTCAAGCGAGCACCCAACTCCACAGGTTGGCTAGGACACATCATCGGAACACTTTTACCTGTCCATGCTTTTGGTCGCATGCCCCCTCTCGTCTCTTGGCCTATCTTGAGGCCTCTTGGGTCTTGTTCCAGCCCTGTTTTGGCATCTATGATGCCTTCATGGGCTTTGTTGGAAGGCATCTCTGGAATCTGGAAGCCTCAGAGGCCGCCCGATAGGCGCAGGAGCCAGGACGCCCAGGGCGCCTCGGGAGAGGTGGACCATGCAAGCAAGTAGATGCGATGATGAGGACGCGGCCGGACAGAAACCCTGCCATACACCACCTCGCGCTGTGCCTTTCCAGTGCGTGTTGAGGGGTGCAGAGCAGGCTGTTCGGCCCAGCGCTCGGGGGTCATCCGTGCCGAGTGGCCTGTCCTCAGCGCGGCGAGCTTCCCCCTCTGCTCCTGCGGTCGTTGCCTCGTCAGGGCCTCCGCTGCCCTCAGGCTTCTCGTGGTTGCAAGCGGGCGCCAGTGAGCTCCTGTACACGCTCATGCTCTGCTTCGTGGTCCTGAACACCGCCTGCTCCGCGGCGAACGCTGGCAAGCACCAGTTCTACGGCCTCTCCATCGGCTTCGTGATCGTCGCGGGCGCATACGGTGCCGGCGCCGTCTCCCTCGGATGCTTCAACCCCGCAGTCGCCCTCGGCATCGAGGCGAGCAGCTTGACCTTGGGTTACTCTCCAGTGTACATTGCCTTCGAGCTCGCAGGTGCCGCGCTGGCTTCAGCACTGTACTCAGTGGTGCGGCCGGAGGAGTTCGAGCAGGGGCAGCCGGCGGGGATGATGGCGAAGGTGACGTCGGAGATACTCGGGACTTACTTTCTTGTGCTGACCGTCGGCCTCAATGTCCTCGGCGACGGAGAAGTGTTCTCCATCGCGGCGTCGCTCATGTGCATGATCTTCGCACTGGGTGATGTGTCGGGGGCCCACTTCAACCCTGCGGTGACCGTGGCGGTCTGGGCGATCGGGCAGATCGACGCGGTTGACGCGGGCGTCTACGTGTGCTTCCAGCTCTTCGCCGGCATCCTGGCAGCGCTCACCTACACCCTCATCTACGAGGGAACCGGCACCGCCGCCACCTCCCTCGCCCCTGGCGCAGGCTACGGACTAGACCGGGAGCGCGAAGACTCGGCTCGCGCCCGCGCTCCCCTCTTCCCCTTCCGCCCCTAACCCTGAAGGGCATCATTGTCTTTTACGGTTGGCATCACCTGATCTCGATGCCAATCTCGAGGGTTTTCGAAGTTTTTGAGAGGGCGCATCTCTAAGATTATGTCGGGCCTGTCCCCCTACAGGGGGATTTTCTACGAAAAAACATACCCCCAAAATAATCAAAGAATGATCCAAAAATAATATAGGGACTATTTGTTGGGTACGTTTGGACCTTTTTGGTGCATTTTTGGGGTATTTTTTATTTTTCGTCAAAAATCCCCCTGTAGGGGGACAGGCGCGACACAACCCTAAGATTGTCACCGCCTTTTGGCTTGCCAAGTCCAGTGGCAGGCAACAGCTCCAGGCGGGTTGCCCTTCCCTCGCGAGGCGAGAAGGCTCTTCCCTGGGCCCTTCCCTCCTCGCGTCCCTCTCCTCTCCCCTGATGGGCGTCGGGGAGGGTGGAGGGCCGGGAGAAGGGGGAGGGGGCAGAGGGAGTCCGGGATCGACTAATTACAAGTAAGGGTGACCCTTCGCCAGAGTGACCGTTGGTGCGGGCTCGTCGGGGTCATGCGATAGCAGCTGATGGCGCGCTTGGATTTGGCCGCCTTGCGCCCCCCCAGTCCGCGCGTACCAAATGTCACTCTTGCCTGGGTCACTCTTGCGCGTAGCCGATGGGGGGGGAGGGGTCGCAGGGGAGCCCCGTGTTCTGCTCCCGAGCCATCGGAAGCCGCAGTGGCCGAGGTCTTCTTTACGTTCGTGCTCTGCTTCGTCGTGCTGAGCGTCGCCTGCTCGCCCAGCGCGAGGAAGGGCAGCTACTCGGAGGTCTTCGGGCTCGCCATCGGCTCCTGCGTCACCGTGGGCGGCTACGCGATCGGGGCCGTCTCGGGCGGCAGCCTGAACCCGGCGGTGTCCGGGGGGGCGGCCTCGTTGGGAGGGTCAGGGCGGTGAGGCTTGGGGCTGCGCGCAGACAACCCCTCCAGGTACAGTCATCCCGCATGGTAAGGATGGACAACCTTCCCAAGGGTACCCTTGAGTCGGGCCTGTCCCTCTACAGGAGGGATCTTCAAAAATAGTCAAAACAATAGTCCGGGGATGTTTTTGGGAGTATTTTTGGGGCATCTGTTGAGTATGTTTTGAGTATTCTTTTATTTTTCGTCCAAGATCCCCCTGTAGGAGGACAGGCCCGACTTAAGGGTACCCTTGCATCCTTGAGCCTTCGGCCCATCGTCAGCGACCTTCGCTGGCCTGCCTCGTTCGAACACAATGTCAGCATGGGCCTCCGAGGTTTTTTGTTTTGCATCCTCGCCGCGCATCCTCGGGACACCTTTTGTTTAACCAACGCAAGAGGAGCCCTGTGGCAAGAGAGGGAGAAACAGGGGGCCACATGCGAACCCTACCCCTACCCCCCACGATTTCTGAGTGGGAGGGTGGGGGTAGGGTTCGCATGTGGCCCCCCAAGAAACGACGACGAAAGACGACACGAGTTGACTGCATCCTCGCCGCGCATCCTCGTGACACGGGCTGGCGGCCGTCCGTCTCGGCGGGCCTCCGCGGGGCCCACCGGAGGAGTCCCCGCGGCCCTCCCCTCCACGGGCCCCCCGGAGAACCGGCGGCGCCCTCGAGGGCGCGAGGCTCTTCGCGCACTTCGCGGCTTGGCTCCGACGCCTCCTCGCCCCTCCGCTCCTCCCCTGGGAGGCGGCGCGAGAGAGCGCGGAGTGATTCGCGCTTCGCGCTCTCGCGCAGCGCGAGAGCGCGAGGTCGGGAGCCCTCGGAGAAGTCCGCGGCCCTCTCACCGCCTCGGCCAACGGGGCGCGAAGGGCGCCGCCGGAGGCGGCGCGGGGGCACCGAGCTCGCCCCTCGGGCTCCTCGGGGGGACGTGGTGAGGCCAGCCCTTGACGACCTTTCCGTCGGGCATGTCCCTCCACACAAGAGGAATACCCTCGGGTGTGGACAGAACCCCCAACAGTGACACGTCGATTAGTGAATTGTCCGTTTTCGGTTCTCGAGAGGGCGCCGTGGCCGCTATTTTCCAGGCTTGCGCCCGCCAGGTTTGGGCCTCAGGTCGTTTTCACTAAACCACGTTTTAGTAAAGGGGGTCTGTCCATCCCCGATACCCCAAACTGGTCAAACACAGCCTGGGGACGACGGTTCTCCCAGCGTGTGGGGCTCCAAGGTATACGCCACCACCAGGCGGCCATAGGAACGAGCAAGTCCTGCGCGCGACCGCCCCGACAGACGAGTCACTTCCTGCCCCCGCCAGGCGCAAGGACTCGCCACGTGGTCCTGCGCGCAGAGGGCGGCCGCCTTCGGATGTGAAGCACTGCGCCCGAGCACCCTATGGCAGCACGGTGGTGGTGTATAAACACGATGGGCCCACCCAGGAGTTTTTAGACACCATCCCGAAATATGCACCACGTGGGTGTGTTGTTATTGTTTTGTGGATGCAGCCTCGTGCCCACACGGCGCTGCACACGCGACATGTCATTATCGCGAGATTTGACGCGCCCTGCAACCCACCGCCGAAACAATAATCCGATCAACCCCCATGACAGAAACCCAGCCCGCGGTGGTGATGTAGGTGTGTGTGTGTGTCCCGGGTGTTATATATATATATATATATATATATATATGTGTGTGTGTGTGTGTAACAAACATAGGTTTGACTATTTCTCATGTTTTTTCCAAGCCCCTACTCATGTAGGGGGACATGCCCGACCTAGATCTACATGTGGGGGGCTGTCTGCGCGCAGCCCGAAGCCTTGCAGGGGTAGGGCCCCCCTAGTTCGTGATTTCTGTCGATAGGCCAGGACGGTGGCGCGCGCCCGAGAGAGCTGCAGCCGCGGGTCGAAGCATGCCCTATCGACCCCATCCACGTGGCATGCTCCGTCGGAGGCCTGGCTCGCGGCGTCGTCCTGGCTCAAGAAGGGGACCCTGGGAGGGTCGGGCAGGGGGGAAGGGGGGGCGGTGAGCCGGGGGGGGGCAAGCTGCGTCCTCGGGTGGTCGCAGACCCCAGCATTTGCCTCGACGCGCGGTCGCGTCCAGTGTCCCCGGAGCGCCTGCCTGGCAGACCAGCCGTGGCCGATGGTGCGGCAGCACTTCTGCTATCCCGCCCGTGGCCCCTGCGTCCGTCCGGGAGGCCTGGAGCCGGGCGGGGGCTCGAAGATGATGCGCTTTGTCCCCCCCGCCCCCCTGCCCCCCGCCCCCCCTGCCCCACCTCCACTGCTATCTTCCCGCCCGTCCCCTCAACTCCCATCCTTCCCTTCTACCTCCCTGCCTCCTGCTCCTCCTCCTCCTCCTCCTCCTCCTCCTCCTCCTCCTCCTCCTCCTCCCTCCCTCCCTCTCTCCCTCCCTCCCTCCCTCCCTCCCTCCCTCCCTCCCTCCCTCCTTTCCTCCTTCCCTCCCTCCCTCCCGCCATCCCACGCCCCTCTTCCTCCATGTCTTTCTTCTGGTCTTGCCCGAGGCAAAGCAGCTGGTCCGAACAAGGGTCTCTCTCTGAGCCTCAGGAGCACGTGCCCAAAGGAGAGCGCATGTACGGCACCAGCGCGCCTGGGCCCGGGGTGGCCCCAGCCACGCACGGTGGGTGGTATACGGATGCCTCGTACGGATCGGCCCGATCCGTACGAGGCACCTGTATACCAGGGCTTCCCCCCAAAGGGTGCGCCAGAATCTTTGCTTCAGCATCTGACAGGTTGGGCCGCATGCCAGATTGCTCCTCAAATGATATACATATATAAATATACACATATGTGTATATATATATACACATATATATGTATATATATATATATTATGTTGGGGCCGTGTACCAGATTGCCAGATTGGCGCCAGATTGGCTCTCGCCAGATTAGATCAGATCGACTCCCTCGCCAGATTGCCATATTGGACCCGCCAGATTGGCGCCAGATTGGCTTCGACTACCCAGTCGGGGGCATGTGGGAAGCACCATTGCCAACGATGACGGCCCCAGAGGTGTCGATCGGCATTGCGTCGGGCGGCGCGTTGGGCGGCGAGGGCATCGGCGACTACTCGTACGGCGCGTACTACAGCCTCTTCGAGCTGCTCGGCGCGAGCCTCGCGGCCTGCGTGTACCTCTCGACGCACGCTGCGGCGGGCGTGGCGAAGTGAGGAGGCCGGGCCCCAGTCCCGGCCGTGGTCTCCCTGCCCCCCTCGTCCTCCCCGTCGTCAAGCAGTGGCGAAGCGTCCTTGCTCGCCTATAGCCCTACCAAACAAAGTTCTAAGAACCTTTTGTGGTTTCCACGAAATTTTGTTAGAACATGTTTGGCAGAGTCTGTCTCTTTTTAACACATCGGGCTTATGGTCTAAGAACATTGCTTTTGTTCTTAGAACATTTTTGGGTTCTACGAACATTTCGTGGTATGACTATAGGAATGCCGGGACGGTCGGTCCCTGCTCAACGTCGTGGTCCCCATCTTGCGCCCCCCTGCCCGTCACGCCCTCCCGTATCCCCGCGCTTCCCCGTGAAATTCCCGCCGTTGCCTGGGCGAGCTGAGAGCGGCATCCGGTTTGGGGCCAGCACAGTTCGTGGAGGGAAGTTCGCTTAGGTCGGGCCTGTCCCCCTACAAGGGGATCTTCGACGAAAAATAAAAGATACCACAAACATGGTCAAAAAATAATGCAAAAATAGTCTAGGGACTATTTTTAACGTTTTTTTACCTTTTTGCAGCATTTTGGGGGTATTTTCATTTTTCGTCGAAGATCCCCCTGTAGGGGGACACGCCCGACGTAAAAGTACGCTCGACAGCCAGATGTCGCCCTATCTACCCAGCTGCCTGCTGCAAGCCCCGCCACCGCGTCTTGTGCAACCGTGCAGCAGGAAGGAAACCGGGTGTAGGAGGAGCAGCACAATTCCGCCGACCGGTCTGAGCCGGGACTAGTCGTGAATTCGACTTCGTCTTCTTCCGCGCAGCAAGGGGGAGGTCGAATCCACGCCAAATTGCAGTTCAGCGAGCGGTCTGGATTGAGCGCGGTAGGGAGGAGGAGGAAGAGGAGGAGGAGGAGCAGGAGGAGGAGGAGGAGGAGGAGGAGGAAGAGGCGGTGGAGGAGCAGTGGGAGGAGAGGGAGAACATGGAGACAGTGAGGAGAAGGCCTATGAGGGGCTGTCTTGGGGCCTCCTGGGAGCCTCCCTGGAGAGTCTTGGGCGCTTCTTGGGCCTCATGGACTCCTTCAGGGGGCTCCTGGCCCACTGACGCCCTCGGAGGCCGTCTTGGGGTCCTCTCTTGGCCGTCTTGGTGACCTCTTGGAGCTGTTGGGAGGCTCTTGGGCGATCTTGGTCCCTCTTGGGACGACCTTGGGCTCTCTTTGCGGGCCTCAGGGGCAGTCGTGCAGCTATCTTAGAGGTCTCTTGAGGCGTCTTGGGCGGTCGGAAACCCAAACAGGTGAAAACCTCAAATCCGTCAAACCTTGGGGAAATCAAGGTTTGTCACTTCCTCGGGCTCTCCTGGAGGGTCTCGTGCAGCCCTCTTCGGCCGCGTTGGAAGTCTCTCGAGCATCTTCAGGCCGTTTGGGAGCCTCTTATGGCGTCTTGGGCAATTTAGGCAGTCGTGGTACCATCTTGGCTGTCTCGGTAGCCGTTTCGAGAGCCGTCTTGGCGGACTGAGCGCATTCGGGGGGGCGTCTTCACGTGCGTGTGCGAGGCTTGGGGGACGGGGTGGCCCTGGGAAGCGCAAGCAAACCGTATCAGACAACAGACGAGCACGACGGACAGAGCCACGGGCACGAGCGACGACGTTCCAGTGAGGCGAAGCCCTCTAGGGAAGGGCTCCGAGGGAGGGGGGAAGTGCGCCTGGGCCCAGGCAACACGTCCCCCCCCCACCCGAAGACGGCCCAGCAGGCCCCCTGACAACGAGTAAGAGGTCCTCCAGACGGCCCAGGAGAGGTCCAAGACAGCTCCAAGGCAGCCCAGTAGCGCTCCAAGAGCGGCCACCACCGCCCAAGAGCGTTCCGAGATGGCCTAAGGTGGCCTCGAGACGGTCCACAGAGGCTTCGGACGGCCAAAGAGGCCCGCCAGAGGACCTTCCAGAGGGCCTCAGGAGGCCCAATACATTCATCAGTTTCCTGGGGTGTTTGACAGTTGTTGGAGTTCTCGCTTTGTCAGGCTTCCGCTGGCCCAAGGCAGCCCAGCAGGCCATCGCCCCAAGGCGGCCCATGAGGCCCCCAAGACGGCCTCAAGACGGCCCAAGAGAGCTCCAAGACGGCCCAAGAGGGGCCCAAGAGGGGTCCAAGAGGCTCCCAAGAGAGCCCCAAGGGAGCTCCAAAAGCTTCCTGACAGCGCCAGAGGGCCACACGAGGCCTCCAAGAAGGCCCCAAGACGGCCCAACCCCCCAAGACGGCCCAAGAGGCCACCTGGACGGTCCAAAAGGCCCCTTGGAGGACCCCCAAGACGGCCTGAGGCCAAACACATCGATTTTCTTGTAGGTGATTATTTGTTTTAAGAGTTCTCGCCTTTTCGGGTCCAGATCGGCCGACAACAGCCCGAGGGCCCCCGAACAGCCTGAAAGGGCCCCAAGGCGGCCACAGAGAGGCTTCATATTGCCTTAGGATGCCCCTTCTGCTAGGCCGAAGAGGGCCCCAAGAGGGCCCTAAGCTGAGGCAAGCCCTTCAAGAGGGCCCCAGAACGGCCCAACAGGGCCACAAGACACTTGGCAGGGCTCCCAGAGGACCCCCCCCCGACGGCCCAATGACGGACGTAGCCTTAACGCCAAGGCTCCAAGGAGCACCAGGCGACCGAGCTTTGGCGCAGAAAGCTCTCAGAGCGTACGGTGACGTAAACAGCTTTTGATGCCAACGTTCCTAAAACCGAGCGGTGACGTAAACAGCTCTCAATTCAAAGCATCCCAAGAGCGAAAGGTTACGTAAACAACTCTTCACACCTAGGCTTCCAAAAGCGAACGGTGACGTACCAAGTTGCCAACGCCAAGGATACCAAAATGCGAGCGATGACGTGAACAAGCTCTTCAATCCAAGGCTTCAAAGAGCGAACGGCGACGTGAAACAGCTCTTATCACCAACGCTCCTTAGAGCGAACGGTGCCATGAGCGCGCATAAGCCTCATCTGCCCCGCGTGGGGAGGTCTCATGGCGTTTCATGAAGGAACCGACAAGCAGATCGGACCTCGCTCCAAGTTCCTGAAGCGCTCTTTCCGTTCACGTGCCGGCTCAGGGTCTGACACGCCCCCTCCGTGAAGGCACGGTGGCGGATTACAAGGTCGAGATTGTGAGAACGGTTTCGATGAATTGTGGGGCTACCTTTGGTCCATAGGCTTCATCTGCCCCTCCAGCGGGGCGCCCTATCATGGTGTCTCATGAAGATCCGACTAGCAGATCCGACTACGCAGGAAGTTCCTGAAGCTCTTTTTATGTCCCCGTGCCGGCCCAGGTTCTACCACGCCCACTCCGTGCAGGCACGTGGCGGATCACAAAGTCGAGGTTGTGGGCATAATTTTCGATGAACTGTGGGGCTACCCGAGGGCCATAGGTTTCATCTGCCTCTCGAGGGGAAATGGCCCTCTCATGGCGTGACATGAAGATCCGACTAGCAGAACGGATCTCGCACCAGGTTCTTGAAGCGCTCTTTCCATTCAGTTCCGGACCAGGTTCTAACACGCCTTCTCCGTGCAGGCATGGGTGTGGATCACAAGGTCGAGGTTGTGGAAATAGTTTTCGATGAATTGTGTGGCTACCTGAGGGCTATATGCTTCATCTGCCACTCTGGGTGGGGACCCTCTCTTGGACCCACCAAGATCCGACAGGCAGATCGGACCTCACACTTGCCATTTTCTGGAATGCGTTCGTATGGGATGGCTGCCGCAATGAGCAGCCGCTTGTTTACATTATGACCCAAACAGCGCTTGCAATTCGGATGTCGCACTTCTATTCCAAGGATCTGGGCCTGAGTGTCGGTCTGGCGGCTGTGCTGTCGCCGTCGCCGCCCCGTCCCCGCCTCGTGGCCGCCCGTGGTCTGGGCCTAATCGTCGATCTGGCGGCTGTGCTGTCGCAATCGCCGCCCCGTCGCCGCCCGCTTGCATTGCCTTGCGCTGCTCGTCAGTGCGTTGCATTGCGCTGCATGTTGGCATTGCGCTGCCTTTCTATGCATTGCTTTGCGTTGCCCTGCTGCGCACAGTAAAGAAGATTGCACAACACAGATTGCGCAGCACATATTGCGGCACATAGTCTGCACATCATACGTTACACAACCTAATGTGCACGACGTATATTGCACAACATGGGCTACACACCGTCGGTTTGCAAAACATGAAGTGTACAACGCGTATTGCACCGCATTGATGGATTCGCACGCATTGCGCCGCATATATCGCACCATACATCTGTTCTCCATTTTTTTAAACAGGTCGGTTCTACCACCCTCCCCCCCCCCCCGGACTTAACGATCCCCCTTTTCGTATTGCAATTTACACATGATTCTGCCTTATCGTCCATCCTAAATTTGAAGTTACACTATCCCAGGGGGGCCGGTATCGCCCCCGCCCCCGCCATCCTCTGCAAAACATACCATGCGCGCACACTCGATTATCAAACATCGCATGTTTCCAAGAACCCCTTGCAAACAATGGGACGCAGTGCACACGCGCGCGTCGTCGCGCGCGCATGCCGAGATCCTTCAAACACCTTGGGTTTCGGAAGGATTTCAAAATCGAGTTTCCAAAACACATACAAACAACAAAGGGTTTCGCAACACTAACTTTCTAAAAAAGCTTACGCGCGCGCTCTTGCGAAGTCTTAAGAAAACATGTTTTTTTCCAACATTTCCAGAACATGCTCCCAAACGGGCTTCGCACGCGCGCATGCCGGAATCGTACGAACGCCCTTGCGCGCGTGCCGTCGCGAGAATCCCCTGCAACCAATGAGACGAAGTTCACGCGCGCGCGTCGTCGCGCGCGCATGCCGAAATCCTTCAAAACTCATCGGCTTCGGAAGGATTTCAAAATCGCGTGTTCAAAAAACCTACAAAAACACAAGGTTTCGCAACACGAATTTTTAACAAAAGCGTGCGCGCGCGCTCTTGCGTCATCATCGTCGTCGTCGTCGTCGTCGCCGTCCTCCCTCCTCCGGCGTCGTCGTCGTCGTCGTCGCCTACGTCGTCCTCTTTCTTTCCTCGTGTTCGTCGTCGTCGTCCTCTCTGGCGTCGTGGTCGTTTCCGTCGTCGTTGTCGCCGTGGTCGTCCTTCCTCCTCCTACTCCCTCGTCGTCGTCGTCGTCCGTTGTCTCGTCGTCCTCCCTCCTATTTCGTCGCCGCCGTCGTCGTCGTCGTCGTCGTCGTCGTCGTCGTCTTCCCTCCTCCCTCGTCGTTGTCGTCGTCGGCGTCGCCGTCCTCCCTCCTTCTTCGTCGTTCGCGTCGTCGCCGTCCTCCCTCCTCCCTCGTCGTTGTCGTCGTTGTCGCCGTCGTCGTCCTCCCTCCTCCCTTGTCGTCGTCGTCGCCCTCGTTAGCGACGTCGTCGCCGTCGTCGTCGTCGTCGTCTTCGTCGTCGTCGGCGTCGTCGTTGTCGTCGGCGTCGTCGTCGTCGGCGGCGTCGTCGTCGTCGGCGTCGTCATCGTCGTCGCCGTCATGGTCGGCGTCGTCGTCGTCGTCGGTGTCGTCGTCGTCGTCGTCGTTGTCGTCGTCGTCGAAGTCGTCGGAGTCGCCGTCAGTGTTGTCGTAGTCGTCGTCGGCGTCGTCGTCGTCCTTGTCGCTGGCGTCGTCGGCGTCGGCGTCGTTGCCAAGTGCTATTTGGTACCCACCGTCACGGCCTTAAGAGTTCTTGCGACCAAGTTGCGGGTGGGAGGGTGAGATGTTGGCACGAGCAGTGGAGATGACAGCTTCAAGACAGTCAAAGTGGTTTGCACACCATAAATGACACCACAGAGATTGCACATCATCGGCTGCACCACCTAGATTGTGCCACATCGATTGCTCCACATATATTGCCCCCCACCTATATAGCACAGCCTAGTGTGCACAGTATAGATTCTCCTTTCTTAGAAGAGAATAGACTCTACCCCCCCCGCGTTATCCGCCCCCCTTTCGGGTATGTAAATCATATGTGATTCTGACCACATGTCCATCCTAAATCTGAATTTGCATTATCCCAGGGGAACCGGGATCGGTCCCCCTGAGGTTCCCTCGTGAAAAACGATACGCGGGGACATCTTTTGCTCTAACATAGCACTTTTTCCAGAATCCCTTGCAAAAAATGTGACGAAGTGCACACGCGCGCGTCGTCGCGCGCGCATGCCGAAATCCTCCAAAAACCTTCGGTGTCGGAAGGATTTCGCAATCGAGCTTCCAAAACACATGCAAAAAAACAGGGTTTCGCAACACTGATTTGCTAAAAAAGCTTGAGCGCGCGCTCTTGCGAAATCGTAAGAAAACAATCGGTTTTTCAAGATTTTCATAAAATGCTACCAAACGGGCTTCGCGCGCGCATGCCGAAATCTGTCGAACGCCCTTGCGCGTGTGCCGTCGCGAGAATCCTCTGCAAAAATGGGACGAAGTGCAGACGCGCGCGTCGTCGCGCGCGCACGCCGAAATCCTTCAAAGCCCATCGGCTTCGGAAGGATTTCAAAATCGTTTGTCCAAAAATCCAACAAAAAACATAATGTTTTGCAACACGGATTTTCAACAAAAACGTGCGCGCGCGCTCTTGCGTCGTCGTCGTCGTCGCCGTCCTCCCTCCTCCCGCGTCGTCGTCGTCGTCGTCGCCTACGTCGTCCTCTTTCTTTCCTCGCGCTCTTCGTCGTCCTCTTTGGCGTCGTGATCGTTTCCGTCGTCGTTGTCGCCGTGGTCGTCCTTCTTCCTCCTCCCTCGTCGTCGTCGTCGTCGTCGTCCGTCGTCGGCGTCTCGTCGTCGTCCCTCCTATTGCGTCGCCGTCGTCGCCGTCGTCGTCGTCGTCGTCGTTGTCGTCGTCGTCGTCTTCCCTTGTCCCTCGTCGTTGTCGTCGTCGGCGTCGCCGTCCTTCCTCCTTCTCCGTCGTTCGCGTCGTCGCCGTCCTCCCTCCTCCCTCGTCGTTGTCGTCGTTGTCGTCGTTGTCGTCGTTGTCGCCGTCGTCGTCCTCCCTCCTCCCTCGTCGTCGTCTTCGTTGGCGACGTCGTCGTCGTCTTCGTCGTCGTCGTCGGCGTCGGCGTCGTCGTCGTCTGCGTCGTCGTCGACGTCGGCGTCGTCGTCGTCGTCGTCACCGCCGTCGTCGTCGTCGTCGTCGTCGGCGTCGATGACGTCGTCGTCGTCGTCGACGTCGTCGTTGTCGTCGTCGTCGTCGGCGTCGTCATCGTCGTTGTTGTCATCGTCGTCGTCGTCGCTGTCGGCGTCGGCGTCGTCGGAGTCGTCGTCGTCGGTGTCGTCGTCGTCGTTGTCGGCGTCGTCGAAGTCGTTGGAGACGGCGTTGGTGTCGTCGTAGTCGTTGTCGGCGGCGTCGTCGTCGTCGTTGTCGCTGTCGTCGTCGGCGTCGCTGTCGCTGCCAAGTGCCATTTGGTACCCACCGTCACGGTCTTAAGAGATTTTGCAAACCAAGTTGCGGGTGGGTGGGTTGGATGGTTGCGCGAGCAGTGGAGTGGACATTTCATTGCGAACAGAAATTAATTGCACACCATAGGTAGCTCCTCATAGACTGCACAACGTGAATTTCTCCAAAACACACTGTTTGGGGTCCACGCTGGCTAAGATTGCCATGCCATTCCGCAACCTTCCTTCTTATTCTCTCCTTCTCGCCTCTTTCTGCTTCCTCTCCTCCGTAGTACTCTCGGGGCGTACGTTTGCCCCCGAATTGGGGCGCAACGCCGCAGCTGCATAGTTGCTGAGAACGCCGAACTTGTTCGAGTCTTTTACTAGACACCCTTACAATAGCTCTGTATTCCATTGAACCAGGCATGCCATCTACAATCCCGCTGCCTTTAGACAATGATTAGGGCTGCTGGGGCCGAGCCAAATGTTGTCATACCGTTCGCATTGTCGTTGCCGTGACATATTCCCAGTCATTGTGAATGCACGTTTGCGGTCGTTTTGCGTTGGGCGATGCAGACATGACCCGACAGCGTGGACATCGACGGCCTCCCTCTCTGCAAATTGTCGGGACAGAGCATCCAGTAGATTGTCGAATTACTGAGCGTCCAGAGTGGTCCCTTTGACCATGGTGGCCCCATCCGACGCAAGCAAGAAGAAAGGTATGCATGACATTGCTCTGTAGCGTACGGCCGCCAAGTGAAGCAAGCACGCGAACTTATCCGATGGCCAGGTGCCTACTTGCAGGGTGCGCTCGAAGTCTGGAAGACTGTCGGGCTAGTGTTAGTATGGCTGCGACACGCTTTCGCACAGGGCTACTCTATGCCAGACAGCATACCTACAAGCATGCGGACCGCTAAGATGCAAGCGCCGAGTGCAATATCGCAAGTGAATCATACACTGGCAAAGTAGGGCAGAGCCAAGCGCAGCCATGTAGGGGAGCGTGTGCAAATGGTAATGTGACGCAAGGAGGCGCGAGGTCAACTAAGGGAGGAACGCGTATATGGACAGGGAGACTCAGGGCAAGGAGTTCCGCTCACATGATTCTGTCTCGAGCTGCACACGTGTCAACCAGCTCGGGGCGAGCAGCAGTCGTTGGGCTTCGACCTCCTCCTCACCCCGGCCGGCTGCGGAAGCGGGGGGACTTGGCCGTTGGGGCCCGCGGCCGCCGTTGTGGCCTGGAGCGGGCCGGACGACAGGGGGGGGGGGGGAAAGGGGGGGGGTACGAAATTTGATGCATGCAGCTGGTTTCGGCCCCACCGAGGGGCCCATTCCTCGACACACAGCCGCCTCCGTCGCCGGGGGCGGGAGGCGCCGGGAAAAGCAGCTGCGTGAGCTGATTCTCACCCCCCCCCCCTTTGCTTTCCCCCCCTTTCGCCCAGCCCGATCTGAGAGGGCCGCGGCGCTCGAGATATCTTCCAGATCCGCCGGATCTCAAAGATTCTCGATCTATCACTACCTGGTGTTCTCCTCGTCCTGGCTTCGTCGTATATGGTGCGTCTGGACCCCTTCCGCCCGACCCGAGCATGGAGCGGGGGGCCCTGGGCCGCGCCTCCCTGGAGACCGGTGGTGGTGCCGCGGGGTCGGGCCTGCACGGTCTGGGCGCCCGAGATGGGCACGGAAAGGATGGGCACAGTGCCCAACAGCAGTTCCTTACCAGCCTCGAACTTATCCCTATCCCTAAGATTGACACGCCAAAAGGCGATGACAATCTTAGGGATGCGCCCTCAAAACATAAGGGAATCCCTAAGATTGGCATCGTGATGAGGAGATGCCCAGCATAGGGATAGGGATATGTTCCAGGCTGGTAAGTTCCTGTTCATTTTGAGCAGGATTCGCTGTCCACGCCGCCGCGGCCTGTGTCCATTTGGGACAGAAGGCCGCCTGCTCAACAGCGGCCGCTGTTGGTTTGGGGCAAGATTAGTTGTTGGGCATTGTGCCCATTCTTTCCGTGCCCATTTCGGGCGTCCAAACACGGGCAGCCAGGGCTTCAGCACGCACGGCGCGTCGCCTGCGGTGGGCTTCGGCCTGCTCTCGGTCCGACGCCTCGGGCTCACAGCGCCCGG